TCAAGATTACTGGCAGTACCATCCAGCAGATAACCACACACCTCAACCACTATGTCACAATATACAACATATGCACTTACTTCAGAGTGTTAACATCCTAATTGCCATTACTGTAAACCTTTTTTCAAACTAACTCAAATTTTCCTTTCATTCATCCAAGTTACTGCTGTTTGCACTACTACTCTGGGAGACTAAATAACTCCCTTCCCTTTTCATAATATTCCCTAGAAGCTGTTTATAGATTTTGACCATATCCCGAGTTCTTTCTTTTCCAGCCTAGATTTAGTTCCCCACATCTCTCCTTCTGCTGTTTCTCTAATCCCTCCAGAGCATGGCTTTATGTGTATTTTTTTTTCTTGTTTTTCATATCTCTAAGAAACTGTGGAGGGTCAGTGTTGTACACGCTATTACAAGGTGCTACAAAGCAAAGCAGTGTAGCTAACAATACTAGCAGTGCCAACATTTAGGATAGTCTGAAAAACAAAACACGAGGTATTCGGGTGGTATAAAACATCACAGTTCTCCAAACACAATACAAACTGTCTTGATATATATCTGCAGGATATCTGGTCATAAATACATCTTTATATGTCCTCACAAAATTTCAGCATATACTCTGCTAAGGATTGAGAGAAATATATGAAGTATGACACTGTTTTATTTATAAATTATGGCAGAGAAGACAGACAAAGCAGGAAAATCCAATATACTGGAGGCAGTGTGTTTGGGTCTCCATTTTCATACAATAACATAACACTGCCTGATAGGATTGCAGTGCTTATATCAACACATGACTTTCTGAAGTGATGCAAAGCCACCAAACTCTAATGCTGAGTCACTTAGGCCATGATGACTGAGATATGTGTTTTTTCACCTGATAAAATGAAAGACAGATCCATGGGAAAATATTATTTCAATGAGTTTGCTAGCAGCCCTCCATGAAATGCCACCTCTGTCTGTGTACTGTTAGGAGACCCGGCCGGGCAGACATCCAGGTGGAACGGAGTTGGCATGGATCACTAATCCCCACTGGCACAGTCTGATGCAGTCATTCTTAGACCTATTTGCTTTTCTTCAGAAAAAGAAAAACCAAAAGCAAAAAATGGAAAAAGTAAACTTCAATCCTCTCCTACCACCAGAAATGTTTTCAGGATTTATTTCTACAGGCTAGAGAGCTGTCTAATCTCCAAAGAAGATAAAGTCTATTTCTTTCCTAAGTTCAATAACATCCATAAGCTGATGGCATATTTTTTGATTTCTCCTGCCTAAACTGACAGATTTGGACTCTCAAGGTTAACATTTGCAAATCTGGGGGGCTCTGCAGGCATTTCATCCTACCACAAGGATCTCCAATGAGCTCCACTGTCCTTGCAGCCACCTGAAAAGGTACCAAAAGTGTCTCTCAAAAACCCATGGCATCTAGTGACCCCAGGCATCTCCTTGCCACTACACCTCAGAACGTCTCTCTTCTTTCCTGATAAATCACTCCCATTTCTCAGCAGCTCCTGAGGATTAATATGACAAACAAAACCCCAAATAGAAGAATATGAAAAGGAGACTGGACAGGAATGGAGGTAGCATTCTGCCATTGCTGTGGTAAATGCATGTTTCTGTGTAAATGTAGGTTTCATCCTCTGCTGGAATAATATACTAGAATAATGACTAAACTTTAGGTTTAGTCACTAAAAAGGCCAATCAGAAAGTGAAAGAATGGAGGACAATAAAAGTAGTTTCTTTTATTATAAAGGGGAAAGAAAGTAATCCATTAGAAGGAAAATGAAAAGCTTTGGGATTATGTGGGGTAGAAAGTAAGAGAGAGAGAGGATATATAAGAGAGGGCTGCAAATAATGTCTGGAAGGGTAATTACTTGCTCTTTCTCTTTTTTCTCTTTCCCATAACACAAGACCTGGAGGGCAATTTGCAATTAAGGGTTACACATTGAAAATGGACAAAAATGAATCACTGTTTAGCATGTAATTAACCTGTGGAACTCATTCCCACATGGTATTCCATGGATAAAGAGCTCAGACAGAGCCCAGGAAGGGTTAGACAGTACGAAGAAGAGGGATAGCATTTTGTGTTCCAGTGCCTTGGATAAAAATAAAATACAAAGAATATCAATCTTCCTGCTTCAGGGCCTAAGTTGTTCATTGTGATCAGCAGCAGGTAAAACTCAGCAGGATGTGAAAGATGCAGTAGTGCCAATGAAAGCTTTAGCACACTGCCCTTCCTATTGGCTTCTAGTTACTTATCTCTGATGCTTATATGGCTCCCACGGTTCCAGTATGTGAGTTCATTACAATCAGTAACATATTCATCATCACAATAGCCTTAGAAGGTACAGAAGAGCTTTTCTCCCTATTGTACCGTCTGTGAACAAAGAGACTTAGAGACTTGCTGGAGGTCATGCAAGAGAAAGAAGCAGAGCAGTGTATGGCACAGAACACTTGTTCCGAACATCCATCGCGACCACTGGACCCTATTGCATCCCAGCACAGAGAACTAGCCGGGAAAGGAGACAGGGTAGCTCCATTCCCATGACCCATCAAATTCTGGTGATCTGGTGATCCATTTCAGAGACCCAGTCCCCAGGTGGTACCTCCCATCAGGCCTCACTAACACTGTTGATGGCCAGCACTTGGTTTGTCCTTTGGGCTGAATTCCAGCTGGCAGTGCTGGATGGCATAAGGTCTCTTAGCATGTGATGCTTCCCTCCCTCTGTGACTTATCTCTACATTTTTTAGTACATGTAGCTCACTTAGGGCCAGGCCATGCAGCTGCTGCACGTTTTATTTACCCAAGCAGTCCCAGAGAGTACAATGAAACTACTCCCATGAGTGGCACAATCTGGCAATCTTTTAAAATGACAGATGTACAGAAAATGTAACTTTCCTCCATGCGGAGATGGGTCACATATTTCCTTTTTCAAATGGCCCTACGTATACTATACCTTCCATGTCTTTTTAATATTATCATTTTAGCATCTATTTTTTATATGTTTAACTAACAGGGGGATTTATCAATCTGTCTCTGAGGATAAGAAAACTACAGCACTCCTTTAATGTTTTCATTCTTTTTTTTCTTTTTTTTTTTTTAAACTTTTTCTTATAGAGTTTTGCTTGAGATAGAAATTTAAAAGGTCCACCATGTTCTTTGCTGGAGAAAAGAGTCCACTTTGAAGCTGTTATCCAACGAATACACAGGTCATTTTGAGAATAAAACACAAAGAGACATGAACCGTGAAAGTTTCTTCCTTCTCTAGTGATAAGCATGTATGAAGGGAAGGCTCTTTTTTTTTTTTTTTTTTTGCTACCTTTGGCCCATTGTGCAACACTTGTTTAAAAAATGTTCCTTGATACTGATCTCCAACTGGTGTTTCACTTATCCTGAACTCTCAAATGTCACCAGCTTTCAACCGGTGCTGTGAGAAGCTCTAACTTACATATCTATAAAAGGAAGAGCTATTTTTTAATCAAGTCTCTTTCTTTCTTCCTTCCCTCTTTTCTTTCTCTTTTCTGCCACTGCACTTCTACTTTCTAGTACAAAAAAGGGCAAGAATAGTGGCTATATGTTATGTAGAATTAGACTACTCTTCATTTGGATACACCTCCCTTAAAAAATTTTTCCTTAATCTGATACAGCACAAACTGTTAGGCAAATTTAGTTTGCAATAGGTGCTTCTACTTCACTGGGGCCATGGCCAACTTTTCTAAACTGGCTAGTGTAGCCTGAAGAGATGCCAACAGTACCCGGCACACATTCTTCTTTGGAAATGTGGAGTACCTTAGACATGGGATGGGAAGGGAAAAATGAGTGTTCCCAAAAATTGGGAATGAGTGGTTTCAATGTCACCAGTTCCAGTGTAGCCTGCAATTCTATACTGAAATGTTACCATAAACTCAAGAAACCTGCCAGTTGGATTACAAATGCCATGGCCACAAACATGACGCAACTACATTGTGTGGTAATTTTTCATAGGGCAGCATTCCAAAGGCAGGTAACACAAGGGATCAAGACATACTTCACATAAGGGAAACATCAAAGGATCAAAGGTTCAGCTCAGGACGCTACTGACAAAAATCAGTAGAAAATTGCTTCATTAAAGGATCTTGTTACAAATCTGTTGATCAAAAATCTAATTAAGTGCATTCCACAACTCACTTCTTAGAGAGATCACAGACGAATGCAAGTTACATATTGCTGATCAGTGGCTTGATGGACACAAGGGATGCAAAGCCGAATCGTGCAGCTGGACAGATGGATTCAAGGGTAATGACGACATCATCTCTTTGGGAAATAAAAAGACTCAAATTCCATGTTCAGCAAGACTGCCAGAAATTATCAGTGCTCCGCATTACTCCTCAACCTGAATCATCATCAGATTATTGCCTCTGAAGCTCACACTCTGAAAAAGTAATCTACTTCTTTAATAATGCAGCTAGGTACAGCACCAGTGAGCCAACATATCGTAAGTGGATAATTACATGGGTAGTTCTTGCCTTTCTACTAGTGTCTTATCCTTTAGATCTAAACAGCGGACACACTTTCTATAGTATTGCTCATCTGAGCATATCAAAGTGCTTTATAGACGTTCATTATAAGTAATTACCAGCTGGCACGTGTGAATAATTTACAGGATGGTAGAAGTGGAATTCCTATAGCTCTCACTTTGTTTCTCCACTGTGCACTTTCTACCCTTTCTCTCCTTCATTATTGCCTCTTTTTTCTGGCCATTGTGTATTAAGGACGTCAGTAATTTGATTATCTTCCTAAAAAACATCTGTATATTGTTTTTTAGGTAGCAGATCTAAACCTAAAAATATGTGGCACTGAATTTGAAATCAAATCTAAAGCATAAGGCTAAAGACAGAGAAGCCTTCCCAGAACCAGCTGTGCCAGTGGAAGGGTTTCTGTCTCCGGTTGCTTTTCAGCTCACATGAACTGCTCCACCAGCACTGACTTAGCCTGTTCCTCAGATAAAATGTAATGGTAACCTGTAAGTAGGTGTGAGCGACAGGGAAACAAGTGGGAGAGAACCTGATTCTAAAATACATCCCACTAATGTGTTGAGAAAGCCAGTGAAATTAACAGACCTGAACTCATTAAATTCAGTTAGAGTCACTTCTGAATGTGTCTCATTAAGTCAAATACAGTTTAAGCATGTGAAGATCCTTTATCAATCAAGAGGAAAAAAAAAATCTCAATTTTCTTCAGAGATTTTAGACAATTCTATTCATTCAGTCTTTCCCTTTTATTTTTCTCGGTCAAGTTTTATCTCTCAGGACAGTCTACAGTCAATAGCCACAAGTATCTAAAATGTAATTGTAAATTGTCATAATTGTCATTTTGATGCTGTTTGTGTTGTTGCTTGTTTGTTTTCCTACAGGATCTTAATTGCTTTTTTCTTCACAGATTTAAAAATACATTTGATGCTTCAGGGAGTTTAATGTTCGAAGAAAAACAGAATGTTGACCACAATCAAACACTCCAAATGGAAAGCGACTCAAAGAAGCAGAAGTACAAAGGTGTGGCAAATGGCTGAAGGTGTGACACAAAGCCAAGTGAAATACAACGGCTGAACACAAAGGCGGAAAGAAAAAATACAGCAGCTGTCTACCAAGCCAATATGAAAGGATTGAAGTGTTAAATAATCAGAAAGGAAAAAAAAAGGGAGAGCTCTCATGCCAGGAAAAAGGGCAAAAGAGAAAGAAGTACAATGGCAACATGGTCTTATACACGCAGGAGGAAAAAATAAGTGTCCAGTGATAGAACATGTGGACAAAGGAAAATAACCCCAATCACAGACGGATTTCCAAGGACACGTGTAGAAACAACCAAAAAATACAAGACAATAAATGAATGAGATGAATTGCTTAAAATATCTGCAAAACAAACAAACAAAAAAATAACTTTTTTGGGGGGGGGGGATGGGGGGAGAGGAGGAAGCAAAGAATCTTTTCCAGCTTAACAAAAACATTCATTTTCTAAAAAGGCCATTTTCTGATACAATTTTTCCCATTCAGCTAATGTCAACCAGCTCTAGTTATGTATTCCAGGCCCCTGGGGCAAAACATAATCTATCTGTGTTTGAAATGAGAACATCTTTGTTCAGACCTTAGGCCAACAGCAACCAAGGGACCTATCAGTGCTGTGGAGAAAAGCAACAGGAAGAGAACAGTAAGGGAACATTTGTGCACAGTTTGAATGTCAGACAGTGCCCAAGCAGTCAAATATACCTGAGCCAAAGAGTCACTTTTAATATCCATAATTCATCGGGACACCTTCAAAATAATGTAGTGCGTTTCCTTCCATTTCAGCTGCTACAGCAGCTTCTGCTGCAGTAAGGTATGAGCTTCCCTGCTACGCAGCTACAAGTAGCTGCAATGTGCTGGCTGTAGAGCCCTTCAAAGATCTCCCAGTCTTTTGCAAGATCAGGTGGTGTCTAGCTGATCAGCCAGCTCACTGCACGAGGACTGTCTAAGCGGCAGGGCAGGAAGGTCCACAGTTCCAGTCCACGTCTGATAACCAGCTCCTGGAAGGCTTCACCCAGGTGGGACTGCCATCGGTATCTCCAAGCTCACTGTTTCTGCTCTGCATGCTGCTCAGACCTGCAGAGTTTCACTAAAGCATCATTTCTTTCCAAGAAGCCACACCTGACAACGCAGCAGAAAATTCTCTTTTCATGCACTAAAGCGCTCGTTCAGAAGAATGGCTGGAAAGCTCGAGAACACCGTACCGTTTCAAAGCTATGAGCCCAGGCTCTTTTTTCTGGCTGCCACAGCTGTGATTAGATGGAAGTATCACTCTGTAATCAGAGCCGCCAAATGGATGGATCAATAGAGAGCTATCAGCAATTAGCACCGTTGTAACTGCCTGGCACATTTTTTATTTATTGAAGCAGGCAAGTCAAGATGCCTGGGGGATAAGCAGCTTCTGGCACATGAAGACATAAGGCGTAAGGGAGGAAAGGAATGGCATTGTTCCTTTTGGAGACTGCCCCTTGTCCCTGCACTGCTCTCCCAGCTCTGAGGCACGTGCATATTACATGTCATTACAGCACCATCTGATTCACAGCAGAGGCCAGGTGGCACGGCAGGCTAATGCATCTCCCTTTCACCTTTGGAGTCATAGAGGGAATAAGTTTGCCAATCTCGGGATATTCCCATTTGGGTTTTTGTTTGCCTCAGACCTGCGTGTTCGCTTTCTTCACCCAAAGGAGTTTTCATGACTGAAAGAACTGGCAATGTCACAGGGCAGGATTTAGTAGAACTGAGAATCGCTGGAGGGGCAGAACTGGGGAAAACGGATATAAATCAGAGACTTGGAAGCATTAGCTGAACCGCATGAAATAGCTATGATGAGGATGGCTGGAAATATGCAAGTCCATACTGAGGAGAAAAAGAACAGAGCAGAGCTCTTTGGAGGCCTGGGACCAGAAGCTGCCATTCAGGGCTGCGAGGTAGAAAATTGCTGTGGCCTCTGGCCAGTCACACCGCAGCTCTGCTTCACGTTCATAGGTAGTAGGAAAACACCCAACATTTCAATAATGAAACAAATCACCTTATAGCAAGCGCTAATTTTTTAAATACGGTTTTAGCTGTACGATCTCTCCCAGTTGTTTTTGCTCTGTTGGTATTAGCTGTTTCTTGAGGCATGATTGCTTCCAGTTTTGGAATACATTAGTGTTCAGCTTGGCTTTGGGGATCATCCTACAGGAGAAAGGAGGGATGAATTTTAAAAGAGCCAGATAGTATTATTATTTTACACTAGTGGTTACTATTCTTTCTCGCAGGAACACCTCCCTGCTGGTTCTGCCAATACGAGCCAGCTCTCACCCTGAAGGGCAGTTTATTTGTAGTCTGCACCTCACATACAGCTGTAAGAGCTCAACCATGAAGGGAAGCGGTAGGCACATCCTATATCCCAGCTGTAGTTCTCTGCCTGTTACTTCACCCAGCTGGAGAAGTTTGGCTTCACTGCCCCCTGACTGAATTAACCCAAGTTCAGGAACCTAAGGACAAGCCTTCTGAGTCCCAATAATAAGGCCAGAGGGAATCATTTAGGATGTTATCATCAGTGCAAATACATAACCTTTGAGCTCTTGGGGGTAAATTCAGCTCTGTTTCCAAAGCTAATAAAAAGTCTATTGTGTACTGACTTGAGGCAATTTCAGCAGGATATTTCAAGTCAATCTCAGCTGAGTCTGATAAGTCCCCCCACCTTCACCTTCCTTATTTACATCCAACAACTGGACATTGCAAGTCAATGATCATTGACGATATGACACATGGATCTACAGAGCTAGCAAGTCTAATATCAACTGAACTGACAGGGCTGGATCCCAGGTACTATCAGAGGAAAGACAAATGTTCCAGCTGCCAATAGGTGTGCCCTTGCACTGACCTCATGTGAATCACCCTCAGCCTGAGGGAGCAGTAGAAATCAATTAAAATTCTTTGGAGTGCCAAATTTTCCACTCCTTTCTGAAGCTGCTTCTCCTCCTTCTTCTACTACAGGTGGACCACTAATCTGAAACCCTCTTGCATGTGTTTATACAGCAAACAGCTAAAGCTTTAAGGAATTAACAAGATGGTGGGGTTTTTGTTGTTGTTTTCTGATAGGATCAGAGATCTCATCTCTTTTTCAAAGCCCACGGGGCCAAATGTTTGAAATTTCTCATTGATTCTGTGGTTTCCTTTTCCAGTCTTGTTTGCGAAAAGCTCATGACATTTCTCCTACACTTGAGAAGGGCATTTATAGTTGTCACTTTTGCCTACTCTGAGCATCCATCCTACACATGAACAGCTTCTCCCTGGAGTGAAAGAGGACACCTGATACTTTCCAAGAGGGACGTTTGCAGTAGGGATCTGCTCACAGAAGAAGAGCAGAGACTGGGAGAGGGTGCTTCAGCAGTTCTGACCTGCTTAAATGTCCCTTCAGGGTACACTTCAGCTGACTGAGAGAAGCTCTGGACAGACCCCAGGACCTAGTACCACCAGTAGGCAGAGGACGAGCACAGCTGAGAATTAAGCCTTAGGTCTCAACACAGCTCACCCCGACTACTCTCTAAATCCACAGACATCAATTAATAGTGAGTGCAGACAGTGATCTGCTTGAAGCAATCAGAAAATAACAGATCATGTCCTACAGCCCACCCAAAAGCTATACAACAGCAACAATTTTGCATTAATGTGTGTCTGCACTGCAGCTGAGACAATTGTCCTGAAGTGTAAGGACCCCAGTTTTAGCTCTAGTGCTTCGTACCACGAAACCTCCCATAACTCACTTTGTAGACTGGCAAATTAATAGTTCAGCCCTGACTGTCTCACCCTTTTCATCTTCCCATAGTCAGACTCTGAGAGCAGGATGAATGTGGGATCACTATGAGGGTGGTCTGGGCAATGGGAAAAAATGCAAAGTGAGAAGAAATCTGCTCAAAATAACAGTAATAAATCTGAAAAGCACTCATTCTCTGTCAACACAGTCGGTGGTATTGACAAACCATATCTCCTTTGCTTTTTCCACAATTACACCATCAACCAGACTTCTGGAAGCAATAAAAACTCTTTATCCAGTATTGGTATACACTGAGATTTGAAATTACTTTCAATGACAAAATGCAGGTTTGAGTGCTCTCTCTAGCATATGCTATGCCTGAGACATCAGCATCAAAAGATGCTGCAAATGTGTCACAGTCCTTCATTACTCTCAGAATAGCAGATGATCTCTGCTAAAAGGGCACTGTGATTTGCTGGTCAGAACCTTTGCTTAAAAGGGACAAAGTACCCCCGAGTCGAGAATGGCTTTTTTCTTCAATACTCACCTTCCCAGCGATACAGAGACGTGGGCCTGTAACTAACAACTGCAGCAGGCGCACCGGAGACACTGAAGAATTCAGTGTGTTAGCATCATCACTGAGTGGCGATTATCTTGTCACACAACCATTTCCTTCTCTTCGGCAGAAATGGTTAAATTATTTGGAGAATGCCTAAAACACATTTTTGAGAGGGAACTGGGAGTTGATGGATTATGGGAAACTGCCAGCGCTGGCACCAGAGCCATTAAGACTGACTCAGGTCTGATTACAGTTTTGCATAGCGTAAGGGCACATCAGAAGAGGTGTAATTTAAAGGCTCATTGCTTGCTTCCTACCCAGCGTTGTGCAAGAAGTAAAAAACTGCTGGAGTCTGGTCCATTTGAAATCACCTGTTTGTGTTCTACCACAGAACAGTCTACGAAATCTCATAAAATACCAAGTAATGAAAATGCTTGGCTCATTCTGAATTGCTTTAAAGTGGCCAGCCAGCAACTGGAAAAATAGAGCTGGAATTGATGGGATGTTCCCTGAGATTTGCTTTTCATAGCTCCTCTTAAGTCAGAAGCCTGCATTTCTTTGCTCTCGCTTTCTTGAAGAGAAGTAGCTATTTTCTTATGGCTTTCCTAATGCCATTTACTCTCTGCCCTGAAAAGCTACCACTAGCACATGCATGTCATGCAATACAGGATCTCTATAAACCAAGAACTGGATTAGGAAAACAAATGTCACCTTCTGCCACTGTGAGATAGAGGCTGCAGAGAAACAGTTTTTATTTCCATAATGACCCTTGTTTCTGGCTCTGCTCCATTACTTAGAAGCAAATTCATTCAGACACAGCAGCTAGGACTGGCAGAGCATGTTTGTCCTATTAACTTGGATGCTGGCTCTATTCTGACCCAGATAGAGAGCTGAGCAGCTGATTTAGGCTTTGGGAGTTTTCACACGTGTGGGCCAGCAGGCCCTTTAGTTTAGCAATACATCAGGAAGCAGAGAAAGATTTGGTTTTCACTTTGAAAATGCAATTCCTCACCAGGTTGTGATGAGGGCTTGGGGTGGTTTTGAGGTGTTTGCTTTGTGTTTTTACTGGTGGAGCTCTTGTTAAAGAGAGAGACAATTTTTATTCTGTCTAGCTTCCACATCCAAGTGCCAAACAACACCCACTTTGACAGCATCTCTTCATTTTTTTCCTGCCAGGCTCTACCTGCCAGCCTCTGTCATGTTCTTCATATTCTTGTCTTTTTAATTCCTGAGTCTCTCTTTTCTCTACTGTCAGACAACTCAAGCAGGAAGCTGCGGGTCTCCTAAAAAGACCTCAGCCCTAAAACACATCCAGAAACTGTCTGGTCACCAGGAAAATTGCAACTCCAAATAGAAGAAAACTGTCTTCAGTCACAAGGAGTAGTCTAAATCCCACAGCCGATGATTAAGAAGACACACTGATTGCCATGAGTCAGAGTATTTCACATGCAGACACGGTATCATATATTTATCAGAGAAAAACCTGTGTTTTTATGAGCAAAGCGGAAAAAGCCCCAAATACTGTGGTTATTCTTAAATTCTGTAAGCACTTGACATCCACTCTGGGGCAATGAGCATCCACAGAACACTGTCAAAGCTCTTAGCATCCTGTCCTAGCTCACATTGTCTTTCTCTGACTCAACATCCAGCCCAGGAATCTGGAAGCATTTCTTCCCCCACCAGTGTAGCACAAAGTCAGATTCAGTTCCTTCCATCAGAAAGGAAGGCAGTGTTGCAGTCAGGACAGTGATATCCTGGCTGCTGAGCCAGGTCATTTGAATTTCACTTTGCAGTGGGAGCTGGTCCTCAGAGGTGTCAAGAAGCACTCAGCAGCCTGGGTCACCACAGAGGTGCTGGCCCTACTGTTGTACATGCTGAAAAATGGTCTTATAGTGGCAGTGTTGGGAATATACAGTCTTCAGTCTCCTTTCCTAGCAATTCACTGACTTTCAGCAGCAGGATATTTCTGGCAGTTACAAAAAGGGGTAAGAAGGTCTACCAGATTTAGAGGTCTGTCTGTTCATCCTTCCTTCCTCTCTCTCTTTCTCCATAAAGCAGTGGATTTCCTTTATTTTTTCTAAGCTACATACTTCTTGACTGCTGGAGGTGGCTGACTCACGTGATGAGAGAAATGAGTGAGCAGGTATTTTAAGTGTGACATTAAAAAAAAATAATAATCCAAAAATACGTTGTGTCTGGAATCATGTGAATCCTGCTGAGTCCAAGTGCAACACGCATCTAAAGAGACTACATGAAGGGCGGGAGGGAAAAATAAAGGAAAATGAAAATAATTTGATATAGAGGAACATCTTTGTAAAAACAACCAGAAAGGCTGGGAGCCATAAAGGGAACACCAGGCAATTTCACAGCAACTCCTCTGGGAATGGCTGTTGTTTTCCTGTGACTTCTAATTAATTATACATGCTAGTGAAGAGATATAATGTGGTTTTGAATAAAACAAAAAATAAAATTTAAAATGAAAAAGAGATAGGGAGAGGGAAGACACAATGCTTGTGTTAATGCAAGTTTGAACTAATTTCACTTTAATCAGAAGCTGACAGGAAAATGGTAAGCCCTGCTGCTTGTCACATTCGGCAGAGATGTCCCCATTGTCTTTAACTGATAAAACATTTCACTGCTGACCTCCAGTGGGAGGAGAACATTTTGTTTAGTGCTGTTGAGTACAGTTTCAACAGATCTCAGTGCTTATTACAATCTGCTCCATGGCCATCTCTCCATGAGCCTGAACAAATGGGATTTGTGCATCTAAATTTTTATTTTATTTTATTTTTTTTAGGGCCGTAGGACTCTCCTTCTCTTAAAAGCTGCAGCGATCTTCTCCAAGACAAAGCCAGACTAGGAAAATCTGGGCTA